TGTTGGAATCATCCACCGTGTTCCGACTTTCGAGAAATTTTCTAAATTATTAATGACCGCGTGTAACGAGCGAGGTGAAGTGGAGAGAGGCGTTGATTTCTTCATCTCTCTGATCTCTTTCAACGAATGTGTTCTATTACAAACACCGTAAAATACCGTAGAGCCAAGTAAAGTTTACTATTATACTTTCACCGTTTCCTTTCTTCGACGGTGAAGACGTTACAGCCTTTGATTACGCGAAAAGATCTCGATTGGTGGATAAAATTCCTGAGGTGCGAGCACGAGTTGATCAAAGAGTTGGAACGTCTTGCTTTATTTATCGCCTCGACAAAAAAAAAGAAAAGAAATGAAAAGCGGAACTGAGAACAACATAATTGATTAAAAATCCTTGTTAAGCCATCCATTACGAAATTGAACACGAATCCCGAACATCTTGCTTGGCAACCAACAGAGATTCAATAGCGATATAAAAAAGAAAGGGAGAAGGGAAAAGAAGAAGAAGAAGAATTGAATAAATAATATAAATAATAAATTTCGATGCATCTTTCGTGTTCTCGAAAACGTTGTCCCCGTTGCGCTGTCCCGTCTCGCTTTTAATTACACAACCTTCTTTTCGAATATCTGGCAAAGTAAATAAGATAACGAGACGCGTTACGAAGAATTTGAAACCGATCATTGTTTGCGAGTCGCGAACATGTGTGCAACACGCGCAACGCTGCACCTGAATTTACGCTCGATATACGTATTTACGAGCCACGTTTATTAACTGTTATACACGCGCGCGTTATATATCGTTCGAATCGGCAAGATAGAGAAACGATCTGCCCTCTCTTATAATCGCGCAACCCGCTACGTCTCGTCTCAGTCCGAGTGAATCCGCCGCGCGATTCGAGGCCTGGATCGAGCCTTAATACGGCGTTAAATCGCGCTCCCCTAATTAAGAATCGCGGTTAACTAATTAAGGTTGACAATTGATTACGAGCGAATCTTTCTAAATCTTTCGAGCGCTAATTAACGATCCCGGTTAATCGCGTCGCGATTGAATAAGAAAAAGGAAAGAAATCGCTCGAATTTTTTTTTTTTTTTTTTTATTCCCCAACCGATCGCGACGTTGAACGACGTTCTTGAGAAAATTAACCGCGAATTCGATGAATCATTATATAATCCGGTTATCGGTGTTGTTAAACGTGGTTAATAAACGTGGACGGTTCAACGGTTCGTTGGAAACAGTGGGTGCGCGGTGTTCGATCCGTTCGAGTGTACGCGCGAGTGACCGCCCCCTCGATCGTTCGTCGTTTCACCAGGTGGACGGTGTCGGTTCGCTTCTTACGAATTGCGGCAGACGTGGAAAATAATAGAGGTTACATAAGAACGAGTAACCGCTCCCAACTGTTTTCAGTCGGCTCGAATCGTCGTTGTGCGATCGGTTTCAAGGTGGTCGGCGCAAGTACAACTGTCGTCGCGAAATAGGAGCTCGCGGAGCGATTAACGAAAAAGCGCCATTTAACGTAAAACCGCAGCCAATCAAGACGAAGACGAGTACGACGAGTAATTGGGAGGGAAAAATAGCGAGGACGAATATATGTATATATATATATATATATATATATATGTACGTATAAACGTTCGACCTCGAGTTCCACGACCGTGCGCAAAGTGCAGCACTTCTCCGAAAGGCTGACCGTACGTTTTAAACGAGTCGGAAGTGATTTACAAAAAGACGCTTGAAATTGAACCGTTATGCGCCGTTGCTGTCCGTGCTCGCAGCAGAAGGAAAGTTAATCGAAGGAAAAATGCTCTAGACTTTTGAAACCGAAGAAGCATGAACGGTTTGCTGAGCAACGGTGAACGGACGAGCCGCGTGTTGGTTACCATCACGCCATACGGTGTTAGTTATCGAATTTTTATCTCACCAATTAGCATTTTTAACCATTATAATTAGCATTCTCTTTTAATCTACGTGCATCGTTACGTGGAAAATTTTTACTCGAATATTTAAAACGTTGCGTTCGGGCAACGAGTAAACACCGGTCTCTAGAGAAATTTAAAATATTGCGTCTCGAAGCGATCTTCGTCATACTCTACGCGTCTAAAAATAAATCGTAAATATCATCGTTTCTTTTCATCGTAAACAAATTTACCTGTTAAGTTTCCGCAACGTTTTTTTTTTTTTTTTTTCTTTTTACTCCTGTTTATTAACTCTCTCGTTCAACCGTGCGACCAGGAGCAAGAGAAAAGGGTATTGAACAACGCGACGTCAACGCCACCAACAACAACGATACCAACACCACCGAGCATACCTCCTGCGCCTCCCGCACCTCCGGCGCCCCCAGCACCGCCTACGCCCCCGTCTGCGCCACCGGCTCCGCCGCCGCTTCCGCTTCCCTCCAAGCCCAAGTGTAGCGAGGATTCCGTCGAGATGCAGAGCATAGAGTCCTTCAAATTGAAAGAGACGCCGAACCCGGTGATTCCAAAGCCCCCGCCTACGTACTTCCCTATGCAAAATTCCGCGGCCGTGTCTAACGGAAGTCCGCGACACGGGGCCGGAAACAAGGCGCAAGTGAATGGGAAAGAGTCGTCGTGCTCGTCGTCGAGCCCGGTGTCGGAGCCGGCGAAAACGGCCGCGCCTCCTCCGCCAGCCACGAACGCGCAAAATGTGAAACCACCGAGCGGAAAGGTGGCCATTAGGATAGGCGCGTACGAAGGGGAAGCGAAACAACCGTCTAAACTCGACTTCCTGTCGCAACAGCCTCGCGCGGATAGAAACGGCACGGACGAATTGGCGAACGGGCCAGTCGTTTCGAGACTGCAGAACGAATTGGCTGCCACGTTGCAAAGATCGAATCTAAGAAGAAAGACTGACGGGGTGAGTAAAGATAGTTAATAAAAATTTCGAATAAAGTTACTTTAAATAATTGCTTATTATTAACACGAATAACTAATTTGTTCGTTATTTGTTAGTTATTGTAGTTGATTCGTTTTTCGTATAACCTTTGACACTACAGTACTTCGGTATGATTATTATTACATTATAAAGGAAAAAATTATTCAAGTAACTTTATTCGTAACTTCAACTATTATAAATTTTGCCCATCATTCTGGACGACGCTCGTTCTCAAAATATTAATCAATTTCGGTTGAATAAATCGAATTATCTCTCTTTAATTCAAAATATTCTTTTATTCAGTTTTACGTTATAATTACGTTATAATAAGAGATGTACATAAAGAAATTTGATTGGAGTTAGGAAATAACAAGTTTTTGCTTATTGTTGTTCTGTTCGTTTCAAAAAAAAAAAAAAAAGAAAAAAAGAAATAAACGAAGATCAGTGTGTAAAAAAAAGTTATTATTATTATATAGTTGGTAGATAAGCACAACGCCGTTGGGAATTGTACATGTCAGGTAGTACACGATAAAGGCAGAAATTAAGTTAATTATACGTGTATCGCTAAACAACGTGATCGTGAGGCGACGAGCGAGGAATTTCAAGGAAATAGTCGCGTATATATAGCTCGAAAACGTTTCACTTTGTGTTTCAGGAAGCACAGCCAACCATTAAACCGATCCCCGAAAACACAGCTGTGTCAAACAACGAGACAACGAACTCGGAGCCGGGAAAGTTGGGTCAGAGCAACGTCGAGAAGCTCGCGTCCGCTCTGAACAACAAAGTCACCATCAAAGTGAACCCGGAGCATAATAATCGATAAAAAAAAAAAAAAAAAAAAAAAAAAAAGTTAGCTTTCGTTTATATAAAATAAAAAGGAAAAAAAGAAGAAAAAAGGAAAAAAAGGAAAAAAAGAAAAAAAAAAAAAGAAATAAGTCGAAACAAGTCGTTTTTTAGAAGTCCATCATGTACCTCTGCCACTTTGTACATTTTTGCACGCTCTTTCAACTTACATCGACTTTTTTATTCTAGATTGAAAAAGCGCTCCCCCTATTGGCGAGCTTCTTTTTTACTTGTCTTTTATCTGTATGTCTTTTTTTATATGTTATTTATTATCGTATTGTAGCGAGTAAGGAGTAAAAAAAGAAAAAAAAAAAAAAAAAAAAAAAGAAAAAAGGAAAAAAAAAAATAAAGCTAAAGTACTCTTAATTAACCGAAACGACAGGCACTGCGACACCTTTTACCACGTAGGCCCGAGTCTATAAAAGAAACTTAGTCCCCTCCGTCGCCGACTAATGTACAGGTCGCGAGACTCGATGGAGGCATCGAACTGAAAAAATAAAAACGATGATACCCAATGGAATTAGATCGTTTCTTCGCTCTCTCCCCTTTCAAAGTGATCCTAAAGTTGTATCGTAAAGAAAAGAAAAGAAAAAAAAAAAAAAAAAAAAAAAAAAAACCAATATCGTCCATGACACAATGATATAACGATTAATAAAGTTTGGTTCGATTGATTCACTTTTGTGACAACTTGAATCTCGTCGACGATGCTCCGTCGAAAAATTACATGCAAACACGCCCTCTAACAAAAGTGATCGGCTTACATCACAACTTCGTTCGGAAGTTATTAACCTCTCGCGAGCGGATTCGTCGTACAAATCGATGGTCGTGTCAAAAAAAAATTAACCGGTCGTGTATCGAATCTTGTGTAATTTTTTTTCTATATGAATAAAAGTTCGACTCGATGCACCAAACATGTAAAATCAAATCTCGTCATCGTACGAGGAACTCCGAGGTGGATCAAAACAGGATTAAAAAATTATTGGCCTCCGAGTATTCAGACTTCTCCGACGTTATCCTCGTGGAATCCCCGTTTGCCGAGACGACCAGGAACGGTCGTGGAATTCGACAAGTTTCCCTCGCTCTTACGCCTTCGAAATTAATCGTAGCTGCCGACGTTTTCAACGAGAACTCGCAATTCTTCTGCCCACGTACCCTCGATCCCAGCATCGAAAGTTTCGAGCTTATTTCAGTGTATCCTTTACGATGCGTCAACCTGAGCATATTCAGCAGAAGACGTCGAAAAACCTTAAAGGCAAGGTAGACATTTCACGAGAGAAGGGATGAGAGAAAAAAAAATATCGTCGCACAAAAAAGCGACAGCTTTCACAACTTTCGCCAAGTATTTTTCACGAGTGTAACGTAATTGAATTGACGCGTTGACCGATAATTAAATACCGATTTAGATTTATCGACGGAAGGGTAAACTATTACGAGCTCGGAGGTATACAGAGAAGAAACATTTTGTGGAAGAAATGGTGCGAACACGTGGAGAATTTGCTCGCGAGCAAGATGAACGGGAGCTCGTTGTCGGAGACAACTGCTGCAAGTTCATCGAGCAGTACAACCTTGTACATCCTTTCCTCGGAGATCGAGATTCGGAAGAACTCGAAGAAAAATGGGAAAAGAGCAGTGTGCAGGTGATATTAACGAATTTAATTTTCTAAATTATTTTCACCTCATTTTCTTTTCTTTATCTTTAATTTCTTATCTTTATCAAGTTAAAACTATTACATCATATCTAACGTGATTCACGAATCGAAAACAGAATATGGACTCATTACGGAGGCGCAGGTGATTACGCGCCTCCGACGTGGTGTCAGAAGGATTTGTATCTCGGGCCATCTTACAACGAGTTGATGGACGGTCGATACGCCCCGATTCCCATAAGATTCGCCGGTGCCAGCCTGGAAGATATCAAGACCGAGCTGGAGGATTTCTCACCGATCAAGATCGAGAAAATGACGCGTAGCTGGCCTACGTGTCGGTGTTTCAAGGAGAAACACAAGAACGACGTTCTTTGCGACGTACTGTTCATCAGAGATCACAATCGGAAATATTACAATACGAGCAAATTCTACACGACCTGCCAGGGTTGCCCCCGTAACCACTTGCAAACGAAGATATTGGAGGATAGAGCGATCGAGAAAAGGAGCGTGTGGTACAGGCAGGAAACGTTGGACGAGGCGCTCGCGAAAGAGGAGAGGGAAGAGGCGAGGAGTCCTAAAAAGGGTCTGACGAGAAGGATATCCCGATTCGGTTTCGGAGTGCCGGAGAAATGCCACTCGGGATTGGTTCTCGGCCCGATTAACGCGGACCGCGAGTTCACCACGGATATGAGCGTGAAACAGGCGCACAATTTCTACGCTCTGATGGAAAACGGTGTAAAGGTTTGGGAGGGCAAGAAGAAGGGTCGATGCAAGTCGTTGTATTGCAAACACTTCAGGAGATACGGTATCTGCACCGCGCCTCATTTTCATTACGCGCTTGGCCCCTGGTCGGTCCAACCGGGAGAACGGTGCACCCTCCAAGGTCGAAGATCGTTCAGCTTGGTCACGATACGCCGACAACCGATCGACTCGGAATTGAAACTTCCCGTTTCCCGCCGCCAATTGGCGGCCAGTATCTCGTACACCGCGCTTCAATCGGGTAGGTTTGGGTCGATCGGAGCCACCACGAAGGGCCGTATCGTGTTGTTTTGGACACCGGAATATTGGTACAGACCCAAGCCCGCCTCCGCCGCTTACAGGTAGTAACGAAAGAGAACGGTTGGAATAGGGATTTAAATCATGGTTCGTTTGTTCGAAACAGGGAGGTGAGGCAACACTTGACCCATTTGAGAAATTTTCGCCAAGAGAAGGAACGGCCGTCCAAACGGAAGTTGTTCGGCAGGCGAAAGAAATACCAATACGAAGATTCCATCATTGTCCCCGAGGAGAAGTACAGTTTCCTGGAAAGGATCTTCTCCGGTAATGGGTCTTGCAAGAAGAAGAAGAAGTTGGAAAATCAAGAGAACAGTACCAATGATCAGTTGAGACGATTATTGAGAATGGATTTCAGAATAACAATTTGGGATATAAACAGCGACATCCTGGCGATGCAGTTGACTTTGATCGATCGCGATCTCTTCGTTCGTATCCCGACGGAGGAAATCGAGATATTGGTATTTCAAAGGAGTTCGAGGAACGCGCCCAACTTGGCGGCGTGGATAGCGTTCAGTCATCGCATATCTTGCCTGATGGCGAGCGAAATTCTGGCCGTGAAAAAATTACCCATGAGAAGCAGGATCGTCGCGAGGCTAGTGAACGCGGCCAAGAAGTGTTACGTCATGGGAAATTTTCATTCGTGCAGATCGATCTTGGCCGGATTGCAGGCGCCGCCGATTTTCAGACTTCGAAAAACGTGGAATTACTTGCGCACTCATCACGCCAATAGGTATATTTAATATCGTTATATCGTTTTTTCTTACTTACTAATTTCCGTTACAAACGTATTCGACGAACGATTCTTTTGATCGATTCAGATACGAGACCATGGAAAGACTTTGCAAGATTTACAAACATCCGTGCACCCAGATGTATCGGCAAGCTTGGGCCAAAGTTGAAACTTGCAATTCGTCCTTTATGCCATACGTGGGCCACCTTTTGCTCAGACTTTTGGATCTGAATAATTCGAACAATTGTCACGATACCGTTGTCCACGTGCACGATGGAATAAAAAATGCAAACGATCTTTGTAAAAAAATGTCTATAGGTATAATTAAGGACACGACATCGAGTCGTGATCAGAGTAATAATTTGGAACAGAAACAGGAGTGTAGAAAGAATATCTTCGCTTCTATTCTAACGAGAATGAAGAATAAAAAGGACGAAAAGACGATTTACGAGGAGAAGTCGGATGGAACGTGGACGATCAAGGAACAGGATTTAGCGTGGAAATATTTCTTTCGTTGGTACAACGCCGTTTTGAAGAGGAAATTTCGTCACAAGGAAGAGGAAAGATTAAGGGATATGGATCCGAGGATGAAACGAGTTATAGACGTCGTGACTTGGATGGTGGATTGTCAGAGACGGGCTCAAGGATACAATTTTCCAGGCCACTCGTTCACGAAGGAATTTTTGTTGAAGACTCGATACAGGGAGGATCGGGAAAATTTTTTCATCAGCTTGAAATTGGAACCCTCGATGATAACTTGAACAAAAGAATTTAAGGAAACTTGGCAGTTTATTGTCAACAATAAGAGAAAGGAAGACGAATAAGAGAGCGGAATTTTTAAGTTATTATTATCACTCGAGTATTCGTTAGATCGTCGAGATAGAATTAGAAACGTGTTAAAAAAAATGTATAAAAATCATTTGATAAATAGTAGTGATTATTAAGTCTTCCTTACGAATGGCTGAAGTTTTCAATGCAATTTATGTAGTCCTCAAACGGCATGATTAATCATCGTCATCGTCGATCAGGAATAAGTTGTACGCTACAATATAACGGTGGATTAAATAAAAAAAAAAAATAATAAAAAAAGAAGAAGAAGAAGAAGAAGAAGAAGAAGAAGAAGAAGAAGAAGAAGAAGAAGAAGAATAACGAGAAAATAAAACAAACGTAAAAGAATTGTAGAAATTAAGTAAATTTATATATACTATATATATATATATATAGATATATACATTTTTATATACATCGATCATTTGCTGAAACAGTGTATCTACATGTGCTTTGTACTTACATATTTATATATATCGTTTTAATAAAAATTTCAGATCCACTTACAATATATTCGAACATCATTGATTAAAACCATTTTCTAACAATTACAACAAAATAAATATCTTTTTTCATCATGTTTTTTTATTCTGAATATAGATATGAATATGTATGTATATATTCTGAATATAATGCACACAAAATTGTTGCTATACATGTGCACATATTGTTTCTTCGATAAGATTTATTCAGTCGTAAATTTGAAGAAAAGAAAAGAAAAGAAAAGAAAAAAAAAAAAAAAAGAAAAGAACGTTTATAACGATCGGAAGAGTATAAATCTCTTTCAAAAACGTAAAATTCTTCCACATCAAATTCTTCTGACTAGACACAACTATCGTATATATACAATTGTAAAATTGCAGTCGATTCGATTTTAATAATAATCAACAAAAACAAAAAGGGAACGAGAATAATAATCGAGTAAACGAGTACGATCCACAATGTTCTTTTAACACCTAATATCACGACAATCGACAAAACGCTATTTCTTACTCAATAAATATTACGTATGATAACTTTTTCCAAATACTTTCTCATTGATTTGATAGCATATATTTAGAATATACGTGTGTTTGTATTTCTGTTCAAGAATTGAACTTTGTGTCGCCTTACGTATCGCCGGTCACACATCGAATCGCATCAAATCATTCCATTTCGTCGTTTGATTTTCAAGTTTTCGATGATAAAAAAAAAAAAAAAAAAAAAAAAACCAAGTTCCCTTTGAACTACGAAAAACGGATTATACATTCGAGGTATGTATATAATAATTATCTAAGACATTCCAAACTAAGATAAAATGCGTTTAGAAATGCAATGCATCTAAATGCACAAGACAGCAACGATAGTCATTACAATGATTATCAAGAATATGAGTTTTTATATAATGAAGTTCGAGATATATAATAAATATAATAAATCTCATAAGAGTATCAAAAACAATTATCTAGAGCAATGGTTCTCTACTGATGATACATATACTATTCATGATACGTCAAAGGCAGCTAATTAATATCCACTTATAATATAATGATGAGCTGGACAATTTGGGCAATATACAATTCCGTATAAAGATTTATATCGTCCAAAAATTTATTTTCATGATATTTTGTATATGGTTGTCTCAATTCTGAATAACTACGGAGTAGTTTAAATGAAAAAATACTGACTTTGTTTTTTTTTTTTTTTTTTTTTTTATAATTTTAGTCTCCTATCTTAAATTTATATACCTTGATAAAGTTTTTAAATTGATTTCAGAATTTATGAAACAGTTGAGAACCGCTGTTCTAGGATATATTTATTAGTATCTTTTATTATTTTTATTTGCAAGTGATCTTAATGATTGAAAAAAAGGAATATTTCCTCCTTAGAATTGTCCTTTGATAGTCTTTCTAATACTCTTTGTTACAAGGCCCATCGTTAAGAACCGTTCAAGATTTTCCTTGTTTCAAGGAAAGAAAAATCGAGATGTTGAATCAGTCGTGAAACAAAGTTATTCAGACAGGCGTTACGTAGGGCTTGGCGAGTATCGAATTCCTAGGAAAATTTTTCTCTTCTTCTCTTTCTCTCATTTTTTTTGAATTTTTTTTTTTTTTTTTTGTTTGTTTTATCAGTCGAAAAAAAATCTATATATAGAATATACATCTGTGTACTATTTCTAGCTAGTAGAATTAAGATCACATGCCGCCAGGTTTCGGAAGATTTGTATCGTAAGCTCTGATCACATCCGTCTGAGTCACCGAGCCTCCTTCCTCTTGAGAGAATGCAAATCCATCTGCATCGCGCAGCATGTGCAACAACAAAGATTGCAACCTATTAATCTCTGTTACCACAACATTAAAGAATCAAAACACATGCAATTTGCAGGAAGAAAGGATTAGTTATAATTTGCTGTAATCGATATTTATTGGAACTAAATTACTTTTGTATAAACTACGTTTTGGAACTACGTTTGAAGATAATGTTCAAGAACAAATAAAGATTAGTAAAAGATTTACAAGTTACAAAGATATTAATTAGTGTAACTTATAGACTAATAACACAGCGTATATACACTGTTAAGGCGTATGCACGTGCCAATATTGTGAGAAAAATTGCTTATTTTGAAGAATATTTTTCTTTATATTAAATAGGCGGAAGCCGTGAATAAGCGCGTGCCCTTAACAAATACATTTGTTAGTAACAAAGTATTAGTAGAGAAGAAGATACAAACTGATGAGCTTGAGAAGATAAAAAATTCTGTACAAAAGAATTGTTATACTTGTTTTTCTTTCTCTTTCTCTCGATTGCAGCTCATCGTTAAATAGATGGCATAACTTACGTGATAGTTCCACTTCGACATTAACTCTGGAAGCGGCGTTTGATCGCCTGGTGAAAACACTTTTTACGTTTTTCAGTAGCCGCGCCGTCTCCGTCAATCTGGAAAGCCGTGCATTCAAAATTGTTTTAGAAAGACTCGTTTGATTGGTTGTCCTCATCCTTATAGTTCATATTCGATATTTTTTTTTCTCTCAATAATATTCGATGAACCGTATATTTCGCGTGTAACCTTCTCTTCATTGGCTATCTAATTGTTATTTATCTCTAAAATGATTCATGCGGTGCTATTAATAATATTAACAAATATCGGTGCGATTCTTTTAATTCGTGATGCCTTTGGTTGTTCTAGTATCTATAATCTATTAAAATTTCTAAGCTTGTCATCAAAATTTGGATACAAATCGCGTTCCTCGAAAACGTAATTCTATAAAAAAAATATTTAATACCGAGGATCAATACAATAAAGATGATATTTCAAAGTGTTAAAATATTAATAAAATATGAGAAATATCTTCTACGAGGTCATAGCTTATTTCCATCCAACTTTCGACACAAAAAGAATATTAAAGTTGCATTAAAAGATTTCGTGATACATGTATTAATAAGATTCGTACTGGGTGCCATCGCAAGCGAAATGTCGAACAATCATGCAATTTGATTAATTAGCAGTGCTTTTGTTTAAATATAGAAAATTGCAAAAGCACTACGAGTTTCATACTACTTGGGGTACTTACACCTCGCGAGCTCGGCGATGGCATGCACAGGCCTTCACGGGATACCGCGAATAAAACATACCAGAAAACCGCATTAACGAAGAGAGTTTTTACTTCATCATATATGACGTGATTTTTTTTTTATGATCTGACAACTAGAGAATTAATTTACTCTCGAAATATTCATCTGTTCGTATTATCATTTATCATTTTACGATTACATTTTATTTCAATATAAATCTAATCGTAAACCATATTACCAAAATACAAAATGACTAAAATTAGTACAAAGAAAAAAATCCAAGTTCCTCTACGTTCATATGTGCGGTATTTTTAAGGAAATCTTGCTTTTTTGATACTACTACTTATGCACATAAAATAGTCACTAGCCCATATTGCAAATTATTTAATAAATTAGAAAGAAAATCTCACTTAACATTAATACAGAATAAGATGTGAAATTAAATAGTGATGAATTGAATGTTAATAAAAATGAAAATTAATGTCAATGATACAAAAAATGTATGGTTAAATAGAAATACGTTTAATGAATATTTTTATTTTTTTTTTTTTTGTTAATATATGATGTTTAAATTTATGAAATAATTCTAATTTTCTAAGAAAACAAAAAATATATCTTATTTGTATAGATATAAATATATATGTTATATATATTAGATTTTATACTACATATATGTTACATATAAAAGAACAGCATATTCATAATAATCTGTAAATATAATACTCAATATAATGAAAATAAAAAATTAAAGATAGTGGAAATTAAAGAGTGGAAATAGGATAACAGGAAAACTAGGAAAACAGGTAAGAAATAAAAACATCGAAATGCTTACGGATTTCAAAGTGGACAGGAATTTGTAGAAACGTGAATTCGTTAAGGTCATGGAATACGAAATGGTGCAGTTGAGACATGCTCTGCATGGTTAGTGAACCATAAATCCCGTGCCACGAGCGCAATCGGGAAGATTCTGATTTTATTTCGCCTTCGTGGCGACCAGATTGAGGTCCAACACCGAATTAACCATCGCCTCTTCGAATACTTCCTGTTATAATTTTTCTTTTCAATTAAGATGATTTAAAATTTTAATTATAATTATTGTACGATATCTAATATAATAATTCATCATTCGATTTTTGAGAAAAAAAAATAGATGCTACTGAAGCAAATTAAATTAATATCTTTTTTAAGAAACTGTATACTGCACTATATGCATGCATCTAAGTGATTAGTTATTTTTGAAAATTTTGTGAGAATTGTTATTCATTGTTATGTATCATAATAATGAATGTTTTTAAAATTCATTAATATTATTTTACTATGAAGTGATGTTATTAATATATTACATTCAACAAGCCATGCATATTGAACATTATTTAATATAATTTTGTTTTTAATAATCTAATTTTCATGCAATATAAATATATCGTTATATGTTTATATATGAATTTATAATTTCTTGCAAAAATTAATATTTTAAAAATTATCGATATGAATTATTAAAAGTATTGCTTCATCATGAAATTTTGATTTTTAACTAATAAATTTCTATAAAATACAATATAAAAAAATATATATAAAAAAACTTACGAGCTTCTATAATCGTGACTATTGAATACATCTCCGGGGTCAGATTTTCGAATCTCATTTTCTCTAGCTGCCGCAGTTACGGATTTCCAAATTGTATTCTTGACTCTAAAAAGATATATTTCGAAATCTATTAATATATCTAGATATAATATGTTAAAATATTTAATGCATGTATACTCACGCCTTAACTGTAATATCCATAAGTAGTACTGCTGATGGTATAAGTACCAAACCCAGCCAGAATACAGGTGAAGAAAACAACATTCTATCGTTGCCTAACATTACTGCACCCACATTTAGAATAGGCCAAAAATTACTGAAATTACATTAATAAATATTATAATTTAATATTTTTTCATGAGGATAAAATAAATATATATTGAGAAAATTACCTATATATTAAAATAAACAAAAACCAAAGCATAATAGATCCCCACATTGCACAATGAGTGACCCATGTCCAAGAGTTAATTATTAATCCTGCTTTTCCACACACCGTTACTACAACATACTATTAACAATAAATAAATAACAATGTAATTATTTGATAATTGATTTCATTAACAATTAATACATACTGTGTATACAAAATTTCCTAAAACAATATAACCACCATCTCGGCCATTTGCCCATACTATTCCTTCTTTTAGAGCCAATAATGATAACCAATAAAGAAGAGATGAATGTATTAAAGCATTTGCAATCCATATCCAAAATACCTGAGCAAATAATATCAAGACTATAGTATAAAAATATATATATCAAATACAACTAATAACATGAAGAAATATAATACTTTAATATTAAACGATGATTCTCCAGTATTTTTTGTGGCATATAATGCTGGATGACTTAAATGAGTTTCCGCAGAACATACTTTATCAAAAAGTCCCATAGCTAATGGAGGTGCTGCTGTAAATACCTAATGTAAATAATATATATACAGTATGTGAAATGATTTATATTTTAATGTCAAAATATAAATTTATATCTTACAACATTGTAAAGACCAATCGACCATCGCTCAAAAAGAATTTGACCACTCCAGCCAGAATAAATAGCAAACCATAATTCAATGACATAAAGACAAATATTTTTGTAAAATGAATAAAGTATAAGTTTGCACATCCTACTATAATTCCATGATCCATGAACAAATAATAAGCGTTTTAAAAAACGAAATTGTGCAATAGAATAATCCGAAGCACAAGCTGCTTGAAGACCTTCAACACCAGAAATACCTAAAAATGATAAAAATTGATAATATATCTCTTTTGTTTGTTAGAAAGTTAATGAATAATAATAATCTTACCAACACCAATATGAGCTTTCTGGATCATTGCTACATCATTTGCACCATCTCCAATCGCAAGTGTTACAGCTTTTTTATTACTTGTAATCAAATCAACCACCTAAAAATTTCTATTAGATTATTATTTTTGTTAAAAAATAATAAAAGAAATTATATAAAAAACTTAAATATATTTGAAATAAAAATCACCTCAGCTTTCTGCATTGGTGAAACTCTACAACAAATAACAACTTTGCAAGATGAACATAAATCTAGAAAATCCATTCTAATATCACAGGATAATGCATATTCTAATGTATTTCCATCTATGATAAGAGCTACATCATTTTGACACTTTAAATCAATTCCAAAATCAAGACAACGCTGTATTATAATTTCTCTTGTTTTCTGTAAAAAAATATTGAATTTGAAAAATTTTCTTAAAAAAAAAAAGAAAAAAAAAAAAAAAGAATAAAAAAAGAATAAAAAAGAAAAAAATAAAAAAATATTATTCTCAATTTTCTCTTACATCTAAAGACGATTCATTAATTATGTACAATGGCATTCCATGTGTAATTAATCTACAAGAATAGCCAATATTTATAGCAGTTTCTTGTTTATCACCAGTCAATACCCATACATTAATGTCAGCCTGTAAAAGAGCCTGTATTGTTTCTGGTACCTACAACATTATGAATTCTCTTTTAATTATTCATTTTCAAAAATGAATACAGAAAAATAAATATCATACCTGATCTTGTAATTGATCTTCAATAGCAGTTGCGCCTAATAATCTTAATTTTGTTTCAATAAGATTTGCGGCATTTTCGATCATATTTTCACGATTTCCTAAACTAATTATTGCATTATGATAAGTTTCACGCCACCACTATTAAAAAAAAAAATATTGTATCAATTTTATTATAAATAAATATAATATATTTAAGCAAATAATAAAAAATATGCACCTGATAAAAATTGTCAGGTATATCTGCAACAGCAAAACAAAGTGTTCTTAAACCTTCAGATGCAAATGCTTCCAAATGTTCTAAAGTTATATCTCGGAAATCATCCAAACTATTTTGTTCAGGATCACTATTCTCTAAGGAAATTGGGCACAATCTTTCATAAATAACAGAATCAGCTCCTTTACAAAAAAGTTTGATTTTTCCTTCTGGTGTTTTCACAATTACTGACATTCTTTTTCTAGCTGAGGTAAATTCTATTACATTTAATATTTCATAACGAAATCTTTCACCCAAAGTTACTATTTCCACATAAGCAGGTGTTCGAGTATCAAATATATAGTTAAATTTACGTGCTCCATCTACCAGCGCTCTTTCATCTATTTAAATAAATAAATATAAAATTAAATTATAAATGATATCAAAGACTAAATTAAAAATAATATTAAAGAAATCTTGATATAATAATATATTACCTGGAGATGCAGCATGATAAATAATAGTTTCGTCAATTTTCTCGGGAATAACAGTATGACACACAGAAAGCATAATCATAAATTCATGTACTACTTTTGCATGATTTGCAGCCTTTTTATCAACACGAGAAAGATCTTGTACTGATCTTCCTTCAATAATATCTTTAATTAATTCGGTATTGATACTAATACCATCTTCGTCACCATTTAAATTTGGATTTGGTAAACTATAAAACATTTTTTTAAATCATGAGTTAATATATTAAATGATATTAAAATAAAATACTCACTCATATATTTTGCCACCAATTGAACATCGTTTAAACTCCATTACATTTTTTGTAAGAGTTCCAGTTTTATCAGTAAAAACATAATTAACCATACCAAGTTCTTCATTAAGATTACTTGTACGTGCCATTGCTGGTGTATCTGTATCTGCATGATACATTTCTATATCCATGTTAATAAATGTAGCTTGAATATATCTCACTACTTCCAATGTAACTTGCAATGAAATAGGTATTAAATTATTAAATAAAATAATAAATGTTAAAAGATTAAAAGCAAAATTTTTAGTCATTTCCTCTGAAACATATAAATAATTATCGTATAATTTTAAAATAATTTATAATAAAATTAAAAAATAAGTTAGTTTACCATTTAAACCTAAATACCATAATCCATCACTATTAGCTTTAGTCCAAAGAATGTTAAATATTGAGGATAGAAGGCACAGCAAAAGAAGTATAAAGAATAACATGAGTATTTGTGTATTGGTCAATCGATCTAAAGTAGATCTTTTTAAAGGTGCAGTTGTAGTATTATTTTGCATTAATTTTGTATCATGGCCTGTGTAAATTACTACACCAAATACCCAACGTGTATTTCTTAACATTGCACCACGAAGCAATACTTGATCAGGTCCCAAAGGTACAGATCTAAAAATTGATTTATAGATTTCTTACATTTTTTGCATTTATAAACTTTTTCAAATTTTTACAACAAATATTCATACTGTTTATTAGATTCTCGCAATACTCCATTAAATTCATACAAATGTCTGTTTGGTGGTTCACATTGAATATTTGCACGAAAATTCATTAATTCAGCAGTATCTAAGAGACTGGCAGTGTCAGGATGGGCTTGTCGTATTTTCAAATTGGTCTCTCCATCCAAATTGGCAGTCTCTATGAAAGACATACTCTGTGGCTCCGATGATGATAATAAGATCAAGTCAGCAGGAAAGAAATTGTTGTTGCGGACCTATGCATATTAAAGAAAGCGATTCTAGCAGGAATACTAATAATTACCACATCCATGATCTTGAAGAAAATAGGTGCAACCTTAACCACATCACCAACAGTAATTTTCCTCCATTGTATCCATTGCCAATGACCATCTCTTAAAACTTCTACTTCACGCATGTTAATTTCATCATCTGCCCTATGCCTTTTCTAAAATATTATAATATTTTGTATTATAGAATGTATTATAGTATTATAGAAAATAATATGTAATTAGATACTTACAATATCTTCGACTATTTCCTTTAATGCAGATACACTAAGAATAAAAATTAATGGAACCAAAGTTGTATATCGACCGGTAGGTGATACATCCGGTATTTGCTAAAATTAAAAATAAAATATTATTTACTTAAAAAAAATAAAAAATAAAAAAAAGATATACATATTTAAAAAAAAAAGATGAAATTTAGTACCTGCATGAGAGCGATGAATAAGAAGAAACAATTACTATATCGACGAAATTGTTCAAAAAGAAACATAGGTATAAACGAAAGACATGAGTACTTCGCAGTTGTAATATGATTGTTTCTATATTTCGCTGGTTGATGAGGAGCATTTATAAAAACTACTCTTTCTTCACTGCTATCGTGTTGATGTGAAGACCGTTGATCGTCACCTTGGGACCCACCATTTTCCGCCCTTACAGGACCAACTACGATAAAATATATATCATTTTATGTTATTCTAATATTTTCTTTTTCATTTAAAGCCTAACAATTTAAAATATAATTTGAATGAAAAATTTATTAATACTTTTTCATTTTATCAGTTTTCAATAAATAATATCAAAAATATTTTTTATCCCGTTTCAATAATGTAAAAATAATTCACGTGTTCATTTATATATATAAATATGATATATATAGATGAAAATATAAATTATTTTTATATATATATTTTTTTTAATATTTGACTTACGATTTTGAGCGTATAGATAAAGATGAAACCGGGATCTGAGTTCGTTGAACCATTGTATCACTTTTGTACCAGCTATTTCCATGTTGTCGTTTATTAAATGAAATGTCTTTCACTTTACTTGTCTTTGGCACTTCGATTCATATTTAATGCATAATAAAACACTATTATGAACGAAATCTAACATGTCTGATATTCCATTAATGATAATGTAATATTATTCATAGGTTATAAAACTATTAATATGTTGGATTTCTTTCTATTAAATTATATTAAAGATAATTTAAATTTGGATTATAAAATCCAAACTTGATTTAAAAATGAAAAAAAACTTAATGATTTTACTATATTATTTAAGAAAATGACGTAGTTCGATTGTACTATCATCTTAGAGGTTATAATTGCATATCTAAAAAGAAATTCTATAAAAAAAACTTCTTTATTCGGTCAATAAAAACGTTGAACAATAAAAAATTCGAATATCACTAACATAAAATTATCATTAAATTTTCATTTTAACTCATATATATTAAAGATTTTAAAATAAATTTATATTAATTCATAACTTTATAATTACTACTATAAAATATTAAAACAAAACATTAATGATAAAATTATAATACATAAAAAAATAATAAAAAATTATCATATTATTAAAAAATTTTGATCATATATTTATTATAGAGTTAAATTTTTAAAAAATTTACAATTGATATATACATTTTTAAATATATTTGATAATTTGTGAAATTCGTAAAAACATTTTTTCAAGGATAGCCGAATATATCTATATTATGAATAATAAATATCTTGATGTAAATATTATTATTTCTGTACATACTTTGGGAATATTAAATATTACCAATATTTACTACATTCAGATCATATTATATACAATAAAAAGTATATAATATGAAACATTAGACATGAGTATTGAATGATTATTCTTTGATAATGCACATACATTATTTCACGACATGCGTGTACGCAAAATATTTGAGCTTATATATCCTATGGTTTCTCAACACCAATCATGTAATAATTATTTCCGGTGATATATTATCCATCGCACTACTAAAACAGTTGTGTAACAAGTAGCTGAACAATATCAAAATAAAAAATAATGAGAGACAATCTATTTAATATGATGAGATTATTAAATTAAATATCAATAATGATTAAAAAATAAAGACACTGAAAATTAATCAATATTAAATTTAAAAAAATTTTAAATATATATGAATATTTCAATTGTTATAATAAAAAAATAAAAAACAAAACTAATTTATGGTGACATTTTTTAATATATTTGACATTTTATAAGCGGCAACGAATTTTTTCAATTAATAGAAAAAAGTAATACAGGCAATCAATATTTTATGAAAATCTACACACTTTGCATAAAACAGTAGTTAACATACACTGATCGAACACTTTTCTACTCGAAATAACGATCGGTTAAACAAACTACATATCTGCGTCATTGTGACAGAAGAAGCCTCGCGCTTACCGCCACACCCCTACCGATCTAATGGAAACGTGAATTTATAATATAAGCTTATTTAATTAATCTACATAAGATTATTATTTAGAATCAAAAATACTTCACAAAAATTCTCGAATTAAGAATTTCCGTAACCATATCACGCCTGCGAATTTTCGGGAGACACTGAATTTACTTCGTAGGTGGCACTGGTCATCATCGGTTTTTCTACCGCGGTATATATAGTCTACTAGATTGTCGACGATTGAATAATTTATACATGCTAGATATTTGGATGATTTTTGGTTTAAATTAATATTCAAATTTTATTTGTAATTTTAAAATAAATGAAAAAACATAACAAATATTAATATAATTAAAAAAAAAAAACAATTTTGAATAGGAATATAATTTAATAAATGAATATACCTATATAATATTTTATATCTATATGATATTTCTAATATATAATATATAATACCAAAAAAGTTGTTACTTGAATTACTAAAAATATAAGTTCCTAAGTTTAATACACTAATATCAAGAGGGTGTTCGCAAAATGTGACAGCCCTGTACACGTGTTACCCCGAAAACGCATGCGCCTGCTACCGGCAACAAGTTGGCGTCAGCACCGTGCTGTACTCCACCAGTATTTTCCATGAATACGGAGATATGTAAGGTTGCATCAATAAACAACCTCGGTGCTCGTAGACTATAGGCCAAGGACACTTCCGCTGGGGTGGGTTGGAGGTAGCTCCGCACCACTGATATTATACCTTATTGGACAATCCGTTCATGCTATTTTGATGGAAATATAACAATGCATGTGCAAAATATGTATAAAGACGGAAAATCTTATTTTCATTTTTTTTCAATATATTAAAATCAAATTTAAAATCAAATTAGAGCAACATTTGAAATATTTATCATGAATATCTAACAGTATGTATAACAATATTAAAAACACTGAATAAATATTACATAATTTAAAATCTTGACATTTAAATGTGCTGCCATATTTAAGTGCCATACAAAGTTGCATTATGTACGTTAATCCAACACTAGGTCTAAAATCACAGGTATAACTTCTATCGATCTATATTATTTTTATGTTTTTTATTATAACAAAAAAATAAACCTTTTAATTAATTATTACAACCATTTTACAAGCATTTATAGATTACGTTCTATATACTACCTCCATTACTGACAAAAAAAATCTTTTCAATCCTTAATTATATAAAATAACAAAACATGAAGACATCTTACCTTCAGAACTCGTTTCGTGCGCTCCAGCTTCCTGCAGTTCGATGTGTTCACGTGTCCTTCGATGTCCAGTCGCCAGGGAATCTATATGTAGGCCAATATTATCGACGTTATCGATGTTGCCGAGGTCGATAGGACTACCGATGATATAAGGCCCGGATTGTTCTTGGATTCCATCGTTTGTTCGACCAGTTACAGATGATGAACTGTTACGAACACCACTGTTTTGTGGGGATGTACTGTCCATATGAGGTATAGAAGAAAGATCCGTCGGTGTAAATGGACGTAACAAGCCAGGATTGGGAACCTGGGGGTTCCCCCTGGCACTTGGTTGCATTGAACGTAACGGAACCTAAATCAGATCAAATGTATTAATGTAACTAATAATATCTATGCTGATTGTTTAGTTTCGAGACAAAAATTTGTTAAAAATTTGAATGATTCAATTACTTAAATATGAAAGAATGAAAATTCGAATTTTTATCTATGTAATCTATTTAAAATTAAATTTTGTTTAACTAATGATGAATAATATCGATTATTAGAAGTCGGCTATGTTTTTCATATGATAAGATAATATCATAGTAAATTATTTCAAATTCTCTAACTTCTGAATTAATATAGTTGGCATAACTTTTGGATCAGATCCCAAATCAACAATGCATTTTCTTCTGCGGTATGCGATAATATAGCAAATACTTAAAATTACACAAATATATTTTGAAAACGAAACGAGCGTAAATGATGATTATGATCAAGTATTAAAATATAATAGTTTTTGACGAATGAAATCCACAATGATGCAATGCCTTCGATGTTAAAAATATCTACAATATCTAAAAACATGTATATTTTAAATTTAAACTGTTTTTAAAGAATCATATTTCCATAATTCTGATTTATGTCAAAATTTGTTTACTGATTATATTAATCATTTGTAATATACAAAAAAAAAATATTTTGGAGCGTAACAAGAATTAACATAATTATGATTAATTTGATTATTTTTTAAAAATATTTTCTGGATGCTCTAAAAATGTTTGTATATTAACTTTATACATTAAAAGCGAAAGCAAATATTGATATCTTGGGTGTGTACAAATGCATCACTGTTAGGTTTTGCGATAATTAACAGTCATACGATAATTCATGTTTGTATGAGTGTAGTTAGTCTAGCAGCAATACGATTATTAGTGAATCAATAAAAACCTATTAAAAGAAAAATAATTCCAATAGTAATGGAATAACATTGAAAAAAAATCTATAATGTAACAAAAATTTTTTTTACAAAAAAAAATAAAATGAAAAAAAAAATATTTAAAAATTCATGTAAAATTAATTTTTGAATATTGATTTTTTTTAATCATTATTATGTTCATTATAATATAAAATAATTTTATATTATATTTTTTTTATTTATAAAACAATATATCTTAAAGTAATATTCACATACTAGTATCCAGTTACTCACTACTTTTAATCGAGTAGGCCAAGGTGATTTTCTGACGGTCGTTCTTCGACCGCGTTCACGAATTTCAGCCTTCGAAATTTTGTATCACGTTTTACCAGGCCTTTGCTAACGTGTGCATGTAAAAATAATTTATTTCATCTAATCTTTATTATACATACACTTTGTTGTAATTTTAAGCGAAACTGTTAACGATTCATCGATATTTTAGTCTTATCTACTATATTAGCAAGGCACTTCGATACATTATAGAAAAAAATTAACGCAATTTAAGTTTAATGGAAAAAAAAATATATATATATATATAACAAGATCCTCATCTATGTAATGAATCTCTACATCAAAAGTTTCAATTTCGTCACGGTCACTTATTCAACTAAGATTCAGTAGTAAACTCTATTCTCTAGCCAGACAAGTTGTAGAATAGATATCGCAATTCTTTTGCAGAGAAATAAAATATTCGAAACAACTCGAAAAATAAATTCACCATAAATAGATTGCGTTTATTACGTTCAAATAACGTATAGATATATAATCACTTTATTTTTTAAAGCTATTCTTTTATTTTTAAGCTGTTGCGAAGAAAGCGATTGGTTCAAAGCTGATTTCGAAGATTATGCACAGTCTGTAATATATCGATGAAAAAAACACCTTATCAATAGCGCATTGTAGCAAATACTGTATATAAAATACGTTTATACTTGTGAAATCCTCCGTTACATAAGAATTCGATTTTTTCTTGAACAATTAATCATTACTCACGATAAAATCACTCAATTTTTTTTACAAAACATAGATACGCTATTATTGATCAAAATGTATAAAAGATATAAAAAAAAAGCAATTTTTTGGTAATGTTATTAATTATCAAAAACTACATAAACAATCGTTTATAAAGAATAAAATTTTTTGGAGTTGTCATCTATGCACTTTGTTGCAATATCAAATATTTGCAACGAAAAAAATAAATAAAAATCGATCAATGAAACGTTCTAATTGTTCTAATCGACTGATTTTATTAATTCATACATGAACATACTGTTATATATATATATATATGTGATAGATTTTTATGAATTATAATATACGAATGGAATATATCAAAACTGTGATAAAAAAGAAAAAATAATCATATAATTTTATTTATACTACTACGAATGCAAATTTCAACGATGACATAGATTGTCTATGTTGAGTAATCAAAACACTTGAAATTTATATCTAATCAAAATTAACGCAATCATGATGCATCGTATCTAATTAAACATGAAATAAAATTTTCAAAAAAAAAAAAAAAATTAAAAAAATATCAATAGCGATTGATGAAACCGTATACGTAAAACTATACACGTGAAACCATAAACGTAGTAAGAAAATTTGTATATTTTTCAAAGAACGGCCAAGTTCTCAGGAAAATATTTTCTTGGCATGGCTAGTTGTCATAAAATCCTTATTTCAGATAAGAATTTCGTCTGGTAAGAAGCACCACGACATATTATAAAATTTTACACTGATAAGCTTTACGTATTCACTTCATATGCTTTTATATCCCGCATCTAATCTATTTCACACAAAGATGATTCAATATTTTATTACGATAATTTCTCTTTTATTTAAAATTTAAAAAATATATATTTTGTTAATTCAATTTTTATCACATTTAAAAATTTCTAAAAACAATTGAAACATTTTTAAGTTACAATAAGTTTTTTAAGTTACAATAAGTATCACGAACCAATAAAATACGTATCGAAACACTGTTCTTCGAAATAACCAATCGCTGAATACCACAAGCTAGATAACGGTAATAAATTCGTGATTAGTTTAACAAGGACGTTTTATGCGATAAAATATTGTCAAATATATGCAACGCGCGTTTATTATCCATTAACTTTTCCATTTTTCTCGATGTCCCTAAGACTAATACGCGTACACGTGTACTACTTCGTCTCCCTTCCTGAACGCGGGTTTCCATGTCGACGGGACGACGTACACTATTACCTGACAGACGTGTCGGCTCTCGTCTCTCCCAGATATAAACCACCTACGATCTTCTGCGCGTGCCATTTACTCGCTTCGACTTAGTCATCATTCGATCGCCAAATTAAGACAATAAAATCATGTTTTAAGTATGTATTATTGTATTTTTACTAAATTTCTAATGATTAAATACGAACATTTAGATAAAATAGAATAGAGTTAATAAAATCAATCGAATTATTCTGATATATACATAAAAATTATTGCAAGTTTTACAAATAGATTAGAGAGTAGTTTCCGTTGTGTAGCAGCTGCAGGAAGTGAATTTACGTCAAACTACTGTTGTTATTCCTCACGCATATTTTCATGTTTTAATTAGTATGTATTGATAGTGATAAATAATTAGATAGAATAAATAAATAGATCTTTGTATCACGATGCTATAAAAATTGAGTTGGTAATATAAAAGGCTTGAAAATAGTTTTTGTTGCATGTCAAAGATAAGAAATAAACCTAAAGATTCATATCATTCGCTACTGTTTATATCAATTAAAATGAATTGATGAATATCTATTAAAATATTTAGCGATATATTAAAGTTTCTTATATGTTATATAGAATGCATTAATAAACATAAAAAATATTATTTATTAATATAAATATAAAACAATAAGATGAATATAAAAATAAATTCTCAATTGATTGATAAATTGATTGAACTTATACACTCTTGCTTAAAGAAGTAAATAAAAAGATGTTTAATAATCCTTAAAATTAAAATAGTTAACACACATTATCTATAATATTTAAAATACATATAATATTATTAAAATATATATATTACTATATTAAATTTTTAGTAAGTAAATACTATTCTTTTTAATAAGTAAATTCTATTCTTAACATGTAATATAATACAAAACGACTGCAATATTACACTACAATTACAACAAATTAGATCAAGAATTTTCTTTAAAAAGTTTTTGATTTTTTCTAAAGAATTTTTAATCCCTTACATTATACTCTTAATACTTTATTGATGTATAAGAAATGACATATATTTTAAAAATCGATTTTCCAATACGAATATGGAGATGATTCATTAAATTATACTTTGTAAGGGGTAAGTATACTTTGTACATTTAAAGAATGTTTTGATATTCGAAATCGTCCTTCACTCACAACCTATATTCCAGATTAAATATCCTATCTGTTTCGCACGGTCAACACTGCATCCACATTTATTACATTCTATGCAATATGCACATGTTGTCGCTGCGTTATTACCACTCTATTTATCCTACAACTGCACGTTCATATTATTATCATTGAAAAAATGCAAAAACTACATGAACATGAAACATTTGTCAAAGAAAAAGAAAGCTATCACCTGTATAACATAAAATAGTCATACTGTTTTTAAAAAATTATGAAAAAAAAATATATATAATTATGCGGTTAAAATAATAATAAATAAATCGATCGAAAGGTTATTGAATAATTAAATTTCATGGATTCGAATATAATTACATAATATACTTAGAGTTTGGGAATCATAAATAATAAGAAACATAATCGATTCTATCTAAATCCCGTTATTACCAGGAATCGCTCTTTAACGGAAATGGATTGCCGAGACTCGCAAAGGACATTACACTTTTAACCTATCCATGAAAATGTTAATCCTCCGGAGTGCTTTTATTTTTATCGATTTTCAAGCTATATACAATTATACGATTATATACATAAAACGTTTCATTTTTTTGTTTATCGTGGTACTGTATTAGGTGGCTACGATTTGCCATTATTTACACCAATGACGCACCCACATATATTAAATTACATAGAAAATTCCATATATAAATAAATATATCGAGAAAAATTATATCGATCTAATTACGATGGAAAAGAGAATATATTTAATTATGCAAAAATTTCAATATTTTTTAGAACCTATTTGCACTGAAGTATAAATACCGAGGAAAGCTTACTAAACAACTATATAGATGATGAAAAAGATTGCGTGATTTCTATAATTAGTACATAGGCATAGTAATTTTTTGAAACAGAAATAAAAGCGAAAAAGAATAATCGAGGAAATGGTGTAACAAGAAGGAGCGGCTCTTTCTATTGGTTCGTCCAATGGGTGCGTATACATAGTTATATCTAAGTCTGTTTATTTATGAGGTTAGCTTTCGTGTTTGCAATCGGCACGACGTTGATGCCGAACTATAGGATATATACATTATGCCACACCCTACTCAAAACGAGATTCTAGTATATTTTTCTTATCAATAAATCGGAAAATAAATTAAAAAAGAAAATAACAGAACTGTAATATAATCGATAAAAAAAACGACTTTTTTGATTAATTTATATGGAAGAATCGTACACGAATGATTTGATTCGCGTGCAGATGGAACAACGAAATCAAATCCTAGTAGTTTTTAATATTTCATGTTACAATCAGGGAATCTTATTGAATCATTTTGAATGTAATATCTAGATATCGAAAATAAAATCAAAATAATATATGTTATGGAATCATTTGTCAAAAATTTATTACATTTATTAAATTTATATATTTCTTTGACAATTGTTCTTAGTATTTAATGAGAAGTTCTAATTGACAAAGTTATATTTAAAAATATTTAAAAATATTTAAAATTACGAGAATTTTTCTATTTTTTTATGTTATAACGTGAAAATAAATTGGTCTAAATAAACATTTCTCTAATACTATATTTAGACAAAGGTAATTACATAATGAACTAACATGTTAATTATAATATTACAAAATATCGTATTATGAAAATATTATGTTGCAAAAATTCGATTTAATATTCATTTATCGACAAATACAATATTAGAAACATTTTAGCACTAGTGAATTGCATTTTAATCATGCATGTAGGCAATCTTCCAAATCACGTTTTTGTAATTGGCACTGGTTGAATTTTGGTTGTCAACGTGATCATGTATCTACAAACTGTTCTGAAACAGGTTGTCTTTAGAAACATCTGTTCCGTACACGTGATCGAAATGATATTCCTTCCATTACGAATATCAAGCTACCTGTTGATGTAGACACAGATTTTAAATTGATATTGAAAATAAAATTGAGTTTCGAAGTAAAATCATCTCTATTCTTAATAGCATTATTTTGAAGATGTATATTTAATAAATAAATCTTCGATAAAAATAAAAAATTGTATTATTTTAAATAAAAAAGTTCAGATTTTCTTTCAAACTTCTTTCAAAAAAGTTTACGATATGATCAGTTGGTGCAATTCATTTAAACATTATTCAATATATAGGAAATAATTTTATAATCGGTGATGAAATTTTTGCCAACTAGTTTTTTATGAGACTGACATGGATTTGTGAAAAACCATTCTTCTCAAAAATAACCCTATGAAATTGGGACGAACGAATTGAAAAGCTGGCTGATGTTCAGCGACATATGTAATTCACGTGAGAGAAAATTTGTTCCGCGTTTCATAGACTAGCTAAACAAAATGCACGCATGATGGACTGTCGAAATAAATTAGTACAAGAATAATATTTAAACAACCTTAAAACAAAAAATCTAATTATAAAAAATATTGTATACATTGTTTACATAAGAAAAAATATGAAAATCAATTAAAGATATATTTAACAAAATCAATGACATTTTGATATTTCAAAAACAGAGAGAAAGAAATATAGTTAGATGATAAAACCTATTCAGTATTAACACGCTAACCGCATATTGATCATTTGCGAAATTATAGCAAGGCCATTAGTCCATATTGTTGAATGAAAGAAATAAAACGTAT